ACAAGGTGCGTTTCTATCAGTCTTCCTACCATTATTACCAAGTTGCAAAAACAAGGTCAAACAACTTCTAAATTATATTGTATTTTCCATTGCGTTCTAAACAACGAATGAAGGTGAGTCACAAATTGGCCGGATCGGAATTCGGAGGATTGCGGTGGAAATGAAGCTGTTCATATAGTAACTTATATGTGGGTGAGACTTGTTTGCCATCAGATAAAAGGTAGTCTGAACATAAAACAGTCTGCGAAGGATTGTGCGTCAACAAATCACAACTGGCCGAACACGGCTTAAACAGGTAACCAGATAGATTGGCCTAAAACCAAAAGCTTGGATAAATATAGAGATTACACAAGTTCGCGGAAAATTAGAGAAGCTAGAGAAATCATGAAATATGAATAGAAGCACATAATGTAGGAAATTAAGCATAAACTACACATAGTTGATGGGTGGGATTGAGAGAGGTAAGCAAAAAGTGAAGCCGAGTAAGAGGGGGCCTGGACTTGTTAGGACTCTCAGGTCACATGGCCCAGGATTAGGGCATGCAGAAAGCATACGTGCAGACGAATATCATAGCATAGATCAACATTTAAGAATCGAAAATACAAGCGATTAGGATGAAGAGGCAGCGGTTTTATCACGAATGCATCAAATGACCAGACAAATCATTAGCTGTCGCAGTTATTGACAAGTTAGCCTATAAGTAGGTAGGATTGCAGCGCCTCACCCTTGTATTTCAGTCTAATGAAATTTAATATGGTTTTAATCTACTACATGACACAAACTCAACACGGATTAATCGGAGTCGCAGGAGGGTGCGTTGAGGACTTATTTGCACAAATCTACAGTCACAACTCCAAAATAATCCTCCTTAGGTCTACGATGAGGCCAATTTTTTGAATCTCTTACACCCGCCTTCTCAAAATTACCGGGAAAAGCCTTCTTTTGAGAAACTCTAGGGTAATCTGCAAATCAGAATGCCACAAAGATTTGTGGTCATGTTACTGAGGTTCACTGGTCTAAAGCGAGATGATTTGCAGGATATGGAGAGTCCACAGCAAAGCTGAAGATTATAATCTATAAAAATAGACAAACGAACAAGCGTTGCCTGGCAAGAGCGGGCCTGATCAGCCTCGAGGCTTATTAGGGTCTTCACAATTCACATGACTCACCAACATTATATATACATAACACGCATAATCGAACATAATTACAGGCTTCAATAATGCCGTATCGAAAATATTAGGCGAGAATGCAGGTTTTAGGTCACAACTGTATCCCCTTCATGCGTCATCCGCGGATATTTTGCATCATAACCACAGCAACATCACTTACCAGCAAGCACGAAATAAACAATCAAAGCATGTGATGCTTCATTAAGTAGATAAAATCAGGCTATAAGAAGAGTGGCAGCCGGCCACCCTCTTTGTTTAGAGCCTAGCTAATTTTGGATTATGTATTGTTTCATGATTTGACAAGGCCTGCCGGCTGGCAGAGATAAGCTCAGCACAGATTAATCGGTGTCAGATGAAGGCAATCCAAGAACTTCTTCGCACAAATCCAGTCACAATTCCAATTTAAGAATTCATGACACTCGCATTTAACCGAAATTGCATGACCTGCAATAATAACATACTGTTAGTTTCAAATCGTTGTGGTGGCATGAGGGACAAATATTAATAAAGCCTCCTTCCTACAGCAAGGAAATAGACTAAGACACAAAATTTCAAGTCTTCCCAACTAAAATATATCTAAAGTAGTCTAAAAATATAATTATATGTATATGACATGTAAAATAAATTATATGGTGGAAGTCAAAGTGCTATTGGATTACCAAAGCATATCCATACCTTGATAGCCACGGGATGTATAACAGCCCCAATCTCAAAGCAGCGTTTTTTGAACTTCATCACTGACGTATTATTGATGCACGTGCCTTCAGGAAAGATTAACAAGGGCAAGGCTCCTTGCTGCGAAGTCCTTGCCATATTGCTTTTGGTACTATGATTAGCTTCATTTTGCACAATCTTTTCGTTTTTTAGTGACGCTTGGTAGTTATCTTGCTCCCCAGAAGGTGAGGCTAAAGGAGCAGAAGAATCAGTGTCAAAAGGCGGTGCCGTATTCACCTCTGCAACAATGGAAGATTCTGATGAGGCCGGAGAGAGACCTGAGAAGACGTGCTGCTTCAATTTCTTTGCAACTGCCATTCGATCGAAAACCTCGTCACGATCAAACCATAGAGTGGGCACTGCGAAGGCAATCAAGTGCTCGATGAGACCAAAAAAACCGATGTGCCTCTGACCAATCTTATAAAAATAAAGTCCATTTAATATTTTTAGTACTGCTGGTAACACAAAGAAATATTTCATAAAAAACATAAGTCATTATGGAGGATTGAATCTCTCCTCAAGACTTGGCCCTTAGCATCAACATTTCACCAAGCCTAAGAGCAATTCTAGTCACCTTAATCAGAATCTTTTTAGAATAATAATTGTGAAATAATTTCAGTTACAAGCATCGAAAGCTCTATGATGAAAAGAATGGAGAGACTTAGTAAAACAGGCCCCATATTGTAGTCGTCGAGAGTGTGATCAAACTCTAAAGTAAAACTAAACTATGCTGTCAGCATAGAATTCATTTAAAGGCCAAGTGGTTAGTACAACATAAATAAATTAGGAGAGCTAAACTATGCGCAATTATGTAAAATGGATCGATGCATTAGATTGAGTGTCACATGTTCCATTGAGGATGAAAACAAGGCAGGTCAGAATGCTGAGGAATTACTCTATGGGAAAACAATTTACTAAGCCTAAGAGAAATTAGAAAACAAGCGAATATGGAAAATTTAAAAACTAAAATCATGGGTTAGTTTGACCTATTCACAACTTGATTGGATCAGCAGGGAAAACTTCTGGAAACAACCAGTGCTGCGTCATCTGCTTTAACAGTCATGATAATTTCCAATATTGGATCGCTGACTTGGTACCTGATACTGGAAATTATCAAAACTACTATAGCAAAGGACGCAAGGCTAGGTAAGCCTGCACAAAGTCTCTTTTCTGCCGCGAATAAGTTAAGAAAACGACGTTAAACCAACGCAATGTAACTAAAAAAAACTGCGACAAAATCCGAAGACGCACCAACTTGGATTTATAAATACAACAAGTTCATGTAGCTTAGAAATTAAAAGGGATTTAACCACCATCTCAAAGGAGAAGTTGATCGGAAAGAATTCGTGAAATTGCATCACCTGAAACAGAAATATTGTCGCGAAGGAAACTATTGGATTGTGAGAAGAAGTCCTCGGCTCACTGTCCT